AAGGTGAGTATCTTGTGATTTTTCTATGACCTTTCTAGTCAATCCATCCTCTCTGAATCTGTTACATTTTTTTTCTGTTATATATCTCTGCTAGAAGTTTGTTAGAGCTGGTTTTGACAGATAGAAATTGGTTTAGGGTAGTTACAGTTGGTTAGGGGCTTAGGGTTATTAGTTGGAAAAAGTTGGTTAGAAAACTGTTAAAATTATTTTTTATAGGGAGATGGTTAAAAGGGGTTTTGTTACAGTTATAGTTAGTTTTTGCTGATGTTAGTTAATTCTATTAATGCTACTGTTAGCAGTTAGTTAGTTCTAAAAAAAAATTCGTCTCAATAATTTTGTGATCAATTTAAGCCTTGTGTTTCAGTTTAAAAACAATTAACAAAATTGGGTGAAAGTTAGTTGTGATCGGTGGAAATAGAACTGACTGTTTTTTAAGTTGGTTCGCGAAATGTCGCGGTAAGCAAGAGTCGCCACCGTATTTTATGTTCTCCAACATGGAAAGGACAAAAGCACAGCAAAATTCCTTTTCGAGATGTCTCTCGGTTCAGGAGGTAGATTTATAGAAAGGGAAGGTGTTAGCACCCTTTCTATCCGTGGTTATCCACGGGCTCTTAGGTACTTGCTCTTATGTTTTAAAAAATGTTTGCTTTTCAAAATGTGAGTGGGTTTTGAAAAAGTTTCGTTTGAAAGATTTCTGAGTAACTCTTGTATCTGTCCTCAAGAGTGTTTGAAAAATTTGTTTTGAAAGATTTTGAAAGTGTCAGTGTGAAAAGACTTTTGTTTGTTTTTGAAGAGATCAAGTACCCATGAGTCATCTACCTACCCTAAGGAATTAGGCTGTGTAAGAGTCCTTAAGGTAGTGCCATCCCACCATTGAGAGGTAGGTAGCACCACCATTGGAGGTGTTCGGGTCAATTCGATTTTAGGGACAATGTGGTCACCGAAGCAATAGTAGGACACCTTAGAAGTAACCCTAATATCCTAGATCCTTTTTATCCGAGGCAACCGTTTCGAGGCAACTGGATCTTAGACAGGAGGGCGACCTCTAAAACACCCTATACTTGACGACCACGTTCGAGGCAACCAGTGAGGCGTACCCTAGGAGTGGCATGTGCATGTGTGTGTTGTTTTCATGTTATGTTTATCTTTGATCATGCAATGGTGATCTACGAGTTGTTTTTTAGTTATCATACATTCTTTCATGCAATTAGCAGTTAGGAGTGCGGAAAATTAAATACAGAAAGGTAAAAGCTACGCTATTACAAGGCGCGGGTCTATACATCGCCAAAATACAAAGACCCGTTTTTGATAAAAGTGCGGAAAGTAAATAAAAGCGGTAAACCTAATTACTATTACATCCTTGGAAGCAGTTACATAATAATCAAATAAAGCAATAACGCGCGCGAAAGAATTAAAATCAGGACGTCCTCGGGTTTTGACCCTTTGCTTGAAATTAAAAGTTTTTTGTCCTTTTGTTTGAAATTAAATTAAATTAAACCTAAATCTAATTATTTAATTATTTACCAAAAAAATGTTTTTTATGTTTTTTTTTATATTTAATGAAAATAAGAAAAGAATTTAAAAGTTAGTAAAAACCCTAATTCTAGATTATTTTAATTATTAATGAAAATGTCAAAGTTGACCTAATTTACTAATTAATTAATTTACATGTTTATGTACAAAATAATAATAATTAATAATGATAATAATAATTAATTAAGAAAAAAAAAGATTAAAAGTGTCAAAACCTAATTCTATATAATTTTTATTTATTAAGAAAAAGATTAAAATATAAACCTAAATTAAGCTAAGTTAATTATTTAATATTTATTTACAAAAATAATTTAATGGTGAAATTATTAATTAATTAAAATAATTTACAATTTTTGATTTCCTGATTTTTATGATGAAAAGTTAATTTGTTGTGAATTAATGATAATTATTAAACAATTAAAATAATTAAAAAAGAAGAGAAAATAAATAAAACTATGCAAACCAAGGGGGTTAGATGGCCCATGTGGAGGCGAGATTGCAGTAATTCTGGCCCAAGAAAGACCAAGCCTGTTTGACTTTTCACTGATCACGTGCATGCTGTTTGACTGGGAGTATCATGGTCTTCACTCTGTGGCCATTGGATTGGACATCATGGCCACTTGGCAAGCTTATGTTGAGCGTGCATGGTGGAACTCTGAATGATTGTTGCATTGGAAAGCTTTAAGCAAAATAAGAACAATTATATGGGGGACCTGGGAATCGAACCCAGGTCCCAGTACTTGCAAGCCACGTCCTTTGCCAACTGAGCTATCCAGCGCTTTTGTGATATAAATGAACAACAAATATTATATAAAAAAACAATCATTATGGCAATCAAACAAAATAACGCGCGCTGGATTTGAACCCTCCAATCACGTTGAGTCACGCACGTCTTCTTCTTCGTTTCCTGTAAAAAACACAACAAGATAGCGGGGGTTTTAAACCCCCACAAAACACAACCACGAACAATAGCGATTAGCGTTAGGGATAATATAAAAAGGGCGCGATATGTCCATTCAATTCGTCTTGAGCTTCTGAGTTTAATGGTATATGTCTCAAGGCCTGATTTTTCCTCAATAAGAAAGCCCTAATTTTCAAGCTTCTAAACCCTAGATTTTATCCATGGTGGATTTTGATTCAGAGGGTTATAACCAAATTGGTTTGTACCAACAGCTTCAGAAGGTCCCTATTAACATAAATCAATCCAAAAAAATGGTCAAAAACACATGAATCGTGATATGCAAATTTGGAAAATAAAGCAAACCGTGTCACTTGTGATGAACGATTCTTTGCGTGTTAAGCTTCGTTCTTGATTGCAATGGCTTCCTGGCAATGTCAGCAATGTATTGGAAACAATTTTAGGCCTTGAATTCACCTGCAATATTGATTTCAGTTTTCAAGTTTTTCTTGAATTTTTGCAAAGTGGTTATGGCTTTCTATGGCAGCTTTTTCGTCCCCAGCTTTAGGGTTTGCTTCAGCACATATATGTGAATGGAATTAGGTTAAAAATAAGCCCAAAAGTCCATGGCATTATGACTTGAATGTGTGATTGCCAATCATATCTTTTTCAATCTTTTCTTTCATGAAACATTGCCAATCATGGATATTTTGAGGTCCTTGAGGTGCACACGAATTTCCAGCTTGCCATAGCCTTATTTTCTTCACAAAAAGATTTAAAAAGCATATCTTTTGAATTTTCCTACAATTAAAACCAATAAAATGAATTAATATTAATATAAATTCAATTAATTAATTAAAAATAAGAAAATAAATCAAATTAAGTTCAATGGGTCGTGCATAAGCTTTGGGTAAAGATTCAAGAAGGAATTTGAGGCCCATTAGCAAAAATGAAGTGTTTTAGACAAAGTTGGCTTTTGAAAATTCCCAAATATTTCCCAACTTCTCCAATGCATATCTTGCTCAATTTTGAAGCCATGAACATGTTCTTGGACATTTTAGAAAGGTCTTGAAGTCCTCTAACCAATGCCTTTGGTCCTATGTCATTTTGATTTACCAATCTCAAGTTATGGTCTTTGACTTAAAGTGCTTTTTTGTTGACTTTTAAAAATGACCCATAATGTTGAAATTGATAACTTTTTGTGAGAGCATTTCTTGGACTTGGAATGTGAAGATGAGTTGTAGGAAATGTCATCCCCTTAAAAATGAGCATTGTATGGGATTTTTATGATGAATCATGAAGAAGTTATGCCTTGGTCAATTTGCAGTTGACTTTTCAACTGTCCAAAAATAGAAACTTTTGACATCTTGAGACTTTTTGAGCCATGCTTGTAGAATCATGATCAAGAATTGATCAAATGATGATTGTGGATTCAAAATAAGATGTTGACCAAAAATTTTGACTTTTGACTGTCAAATGACCATTTTACCCCTGCAGTTGACTGTGAGGCAATTAGGGTTTTTGACTGTGCAACTTGATGCTGTGAGTCTTGAAACTTGATATATGAATGCTTGACAATGTATATAGGCATATGGGACTTGATTGGACCCTTGAAAACCTCAATTTCTTTGCAAGAACCAAAACCCTAATTTTGACTTGACTGCCTTAGGAGGTGATTTGACTGTGCAACCTTTGAGAAATCTTGAGGAATATGGGAGGGAAAATTTTGGGGTACAACATTAGTTAGTTGAAAATTCTGCTTAGTTAGTTATAAGTGCCAAAATCTGTTGTTGTTAGATGGACAGTTAGTCGAATATCCTATTAGATGTTAAAAGTTAGTTATAAAACTAAACTAAACTAAAACTTCAAAATTTTAGTTATTTTATTTTCTACTGTGAAAGTTAGTTAAAAAGTTAGTTGTTAGAAGTTATTGATTCCAGGCCATATACTTCTGTTTATTGTTTAGTAAAGCTTATGAAATCAGTTAGAAATTCGATTAGATCAAAAAGTTAGTTAGTGCTCAGTTAGCAATTAATTAGTTGTAGAGTCAAAAAAGTTAGTTAGGAATTTGGTTAACTGCTTTTTGTGAGTTTGTTATATGGTTTAGAGTTGGACAACAGTTAGGAGATTTTGCATTGGCTGTTAAAAGGCTAGTTGAAATTCTATTTTTCAGGGTATTTAGGTTGCTGTTTAGTTATTTTTCTGCTGGACAGTTTAGGGAATATGACAATTTTGTTGCAAATTGATAAGAAATCCCATTATGAAATTGGTTAACAGTTTTTTTTCCAGTGAGGCCTGGTCACAGTTTGTCATGAAATTTAGCTTTTTCATCCCTTTCACCCTTGGATCGAATTATTGAATGAGCGATTTATTTTGTTTTGTTTATTAATATGCGGCAAGTCGGTCATGACAAGTTGTGGGACATATTAATATTTCACTGCAATTTACTTCTAGCTTGGTCCATACACTAAATCCTCATATCAAGAATGGATATTGCATGAATTAACCTGACCATATATGTTGTTGTTTGTTCATGACTTGTATTAAGTTTTATATGTCGACTGCTAGCTCAAAGTGCATGTCCTGTAACTGATGTGCTAATGTGCTGTTTGTTTTTGCTATATGTAGGTTGTGATGGAAAGGATACAGGTTGGGATTGACTTTCAAAATAGGCATGGTATTGAAGTCCATTAGCAAGACAAGACTGGAAGACATGGTACAAGGCATTTGGTGCAAAGTTAGAGGCATGACATTTAGCAGTGAGGATGGACATGGAGATTGATCCGTATGGCATGGCACGACGTTCGGTTAAGACTCGAAACATGAAGGGTGATAGGGATTAGAATAGGTTCTAATTGTTGTGTAAGGTTCCATGTGTATAATGGTATATATGTTGGAAACTGTAATGTAAATTATAGTGAGGTTATGGTATTTTGTAATGGCTAATAATTCTTTCTCCTTCATGTAATTCTTCGAATGGAATGATATTTGGACGAACTTGCATATTTAAATATGAATGATTATCTTTTGAGAGAGATTTGCTTGTAAATTGTCATGTGAATGGACTTGAATCTTTAAAATTGTGAGCCATGTACAATGACATTAGATGATGGATGAAATGGTGGGAAATTTCTTGAATCCCTAAGTGGATTTTGACGAACTCTGAAGGAAAGTGAAAGATGTTGAATTTTGATATTCTGATGATTCCTTTTTACATGAACTTTGGTATCTTGAATAATATTTTAATAACCTTGAACTTGTATACCTCATTACTTAAATCTTAAGAAATCCAAATACATTTATTTTTCAACCTTACAAGCCTCCAACAACTCTGATGAATTGAACCAAGTTTGAATCCATGGAATCATTTAAATCCACTTCAACCTTAATCCAAATTAACTCGCACGACAAGCAACAAACAATTTGAACGAATGACACTTTGATTATAATCTGCATCTTGTGTCACGTCTCGATTGTATGAGAAATATAATAACAATGTCTTGGATCCTTGAAGAAAATATTTAAGATGACTTTGACCTTAAAGCCTAGCTCACATAGTCTTTACTTAAACCTTTTGTGAAACCATAATGATCCTGCCCTTGGTGAAGATGACAACCTTGTAGCTTAATGAGAGAAAGAAGTTCTCAATGATCACGAATCTAAACCATATCCCCACAAACCATAGTTAATGAGAAACCAATTGATTTAAGCCTGAGTGAAGATAAGGGTCTAAAAGCACATATAAAACCCTAATCTTCAAGATCCTTGTTCCCATGCTAAATTTACTGATTAATGATGCATGATGTGTTAAATAACCTAATGGAAGGTTATGTACATGTGAAAAATGCGAGATGCGTAAGCCAGATAAAAGTAAAAGGGGTAGGACAAATTTGGGGTATTACAGTGGGGTTGTGAGAAAGAACCTGGATAGTAGGGTTGCTTCGAAATGAAAGCCTAGATAGAAGGGCTATGAGAAGGAACCTGGGTCGTAAGGTTACTTTGAAATGAAAGCCTGGATAGTAGAGCTTATGGGAAGGAACCTAGATAGTAGGGTTACTTCGAGATGAAAGCCTGGATAGTAGGGCTTATGGGAAGGAACCTGGATAGTAGGGTTACTTCGAGATGAAAGCCTAGATAGTAGGGCTTATGGGAAGGAATCTGGATAGTAGGGCTTATGGAAAGGAACATGGATAGTAGGGTTACTTCGAGATGAAAGCCTGAATAATAGGGCTTATGGGAAAGAACGTGGATAGTAAGGTTACTTCGAGGTGAAATCCTGGATAGTAGGGCTATGAGAAGGAACCTGGGTCGTAGGGTTACTTCGAAGTGAAAGCCTGGATAGTAGGTCTATAAGAAGGAACCTGGGTCATAGGGTTACTTCGAGGTGAAAGCCTGGATAGTAGGGCTTATGGGAAGGAACCTGGATAGTAGGGTTACTTCGAGATGAAAGCCTGGATAGTAGGGCTGCTTCATTTGATCACGTAGATTAGTTGACCCGTTTGGTTTTGGGAACTGATTTTCCATTAGTTGTTTGCATATGTGACATGTATAACTACTGGGATTATTGATGATAATTATCTTTCCTGAAAAGATAATAGGGTTAATTATATGTGATGCATGAAATGCATTGTGGGATGATGTTCTCAAAATAAATGAGATTATGTTGTATGCGATATGTATGTGCATGTCATGATGTATGAACATGAGATGCTATTGTAACATATCTGAGTCTGGGAAAATAAATCCCTGACTACTGCTGGAGAGTATTGGGAATAGCATTCCTGACTATTGTAGAAAACCGTGGTTCTTCTACTTCCACCGGGGATGGTAAACGGAGATGACTTGTTGGAGATTTGCTCCTTGTTTACGGATATTCCAGTCGGGGGAGGGAATCTGCTTGAGAATAACTTTACGGGGAAATAACTCTGTTGGAGGATGAACTTCCATAGCTGAAGGGATGAACTCTTTTAGGGATTGAGCTTCTGTATTCAGAGAAATAAACTATGTTCGGGAGAAAAATTTAAGACCTGCTTGCAATTATGAAATTCGGCTGGGGAATATAGATGTCAGTTTTCTGAAGGAACCCGGCTTGGGAGAGTACCTCCTTTTTTGGGGAAGCCGATGTCAAAGCTTTAATTGCCTCTACTTTGTGGGGAGTATAGCCGTCACAGGGTCGTATATACTGATGACTTTGTCACAAAGCTGTCTCTGCCCCGGTACCTGCTGGACAAAGTAATTGTCGGGTTTGACATTTTTTTTAGTTTTTTCCCCTGTTTCTTAAGTTACGAGCAATTGTATTTCCGTTTCCTATACAAATAACAATCATATTCAAATGCATATGTCAAGAATAAATCGTTGGACATTTCTTGCAAAATAAAACAGAAAAGGAAAACCAATGGTTTTGTAAAAAATGACTTGTATTAATTTCTTAAAGTTGGCCTATAACAGGCGTTTTTGTACAAGGAAGTTGACACTCTAGTAAAAGAATGCCGCCGTAAAAAATGGAAGCTATACAATATTGTGTAAATCAAAAAGAAAATAGATATGTGCAATAATCCCATTTAAGTTTCAATTCTGCTATTGTCGCTATGTCTTCGAGCGTCTTATCACCTTGCTACTTGTCCGAAGCTGATTAGATTGATTGGTGTCGTTCGAGCTTGACAGTTGATACTGAGGTATGGTAGCAAGGTGATCCAATGGGACATAGTGATACGCTTTACATCCCTAACTATTTCCTGGACTTCCCTTTCGGGTTTTCAGTCCACAGGGATACCCCTTTTTACCCAAGTCGCCTTTTCAGATTTTCGACTTTCCAGGTGTACAGATTTTTTTCGTTTTCATCCCTTATTTTTTCATGAATCCTTTTGGTTCACCGGGAAGCCCTTAATTTTGCCTAGGCCAAGCAACATAGCGGGTCTTTAATCATGCGTAGTATCTTTTCACTATGTCCGCATTGACAGGGTGAGAAAGGTCATCACCGTCAATGGTGGTTAAAATCATGGCTCCACCTGAGAAAATGTTTTTTATCACAAATGGCCCCTCGTATGTGGGAGTCCATTTGCCCCTGGGATCACCATGCGGCAGTATGATACGCTAGATCACTAGATCTCCGACTTGATAGTCTTGGCGTCTGACTTTTTTGTTGAAAGCCTTGATCATCTGTTTTTGATACATTAGGCCATGACAGATAGCAGTAAGTATCTTTTCATTGATCAGATTCAGTTGATCAAGTCGAGTTTGGATCCAGTCGTCTTTGTTCAAACCCACATCCTTCATAATCCTTAGTGAAGGGATCTGGACCTCAATAGGTAGGACAACCTCCATACCATATACCAGAGAGTAGGGTGTTGCCCCTGTTGACGTACACGCTGAGGTATGTTACCCATGAAGAGCAAATGGTAACATCTCATGCCAGTCTTTGTATGTCACTGTCATCTTCTGTATAATCTTCTTGATGTTCTTGTTAGCTGTAACACCCCAATTCTACCCCAAGCAATTTACGGAAAATCAGAGTATAAAATTTTCTAAAATAATCAGGATGCTACACATTCAACAGAGACACATAAACCCGTCATTCTTTTAGAATAGATACATAACACTTAAAGAAAACAGAATGAACACAACTCATGAATAAAGTCTTCATAACATAAACCAACTTTGATTAATCACGCAGCGGATTCATGATAATTCTCTATATGATACATAGCATCTTTTGAATCATAAAACAACATCAATACGATAATTCCTCAAATAATAACATAAAGTTCGATAAATAAACAACAAAACAAAATAAGCGTTCATTTCCCCGCGAGTTCTATGCATCAGAGAAAATGACACCAAACTCGAACTAACAACGCTAACGGCTACTCCTCTTGGGTACCTGCATGTTACCAATAAAGGGTAACATTCAAACAGAAGGGGTGAGATATCGAGTACTATAATAGAACATATGATAAATAATATAGTGAAATCAGTTTATGTAAAATCACCACTTCATACCAAATCAACATAAAACAATACCATTCACCAACATCTCGATTCAACTTATAACATTGTCGTGCACAAACAACACTTCAAATAAGCAACAAAATCAACGACTTCAAATGCGACTCAATTATGAAAATGCATGTGGTACCATTGGAGCAGAACTCCCAACTTAGAAAGTGTCAGTTTACCGAGGCATAAGGCATAAGCCCTCAACATAAATCTTTCCAATAAAGGCCAACATGGTGAGCATTTTCTCCAACCTAGAACATGTCAATCCAGACCAACTTTAATGCTATGTTATGCTATGCGATGATATAAAAAACCACAACTTGGCAACGCAACAACGACAACAACATAATAAAGGTTGATATAACAATGATTCACACCTTCAACATTGGCCAAAGGCCTATATCACAGTCATTACCAATTAATCAAGGTAAATCACAACATTTATTCACCACAGATATATCGAAATTGTGATACAGTGGCATACCGACTGTTTTTACTGGTTTGCATTTTGCGTTTTTTGTTCGCAAAATGTCGCGATAAGCAAGAGTCGCCACCGACTTTTATTTCATCCAATCATGGAAAAGGAAAAAGAACAGAAAAAACTTTTTTCGAGATATTCTGAGTACGGGGGGTAGATTATAGAAAGGGGAGGTGTTAGCACCCTTTCTATTCATGGTTTTCCATGGGCTCTTAGGTACTTGCTCATTTTTAAAATTGCTTGTGTGTGTTTGTATTGAAAATGTTTTACTTCGTGATAACCCTTATATCAGTCCTCAAGGGTGTGACGAAGTTTGTTTTGAAAATTTGTTTTGAAAGGTGTTTGTGTGA